TTAATAAGCATAAAGTTCTTAACTTTATGCTTATTAAAGTATAATATAAATACATTCATCAAAGTACGAGTATAATATAAATACACAAAATAATTGATAGAATCAGGCGTTACTTTGCGGAAATCCATTATAATAAAAATTAAAAATATAAATTTCTTTGCAACTTTCCGCTAAACATATAAAATGATGTGTCTTACCTGGATTGAAGCGCACCTCCCGCCCTCCCTCAATTGCATACACTAACTCCGTCACCACTAGACCAAGCACCACTACTCTCAACATCACTATTCCAGGCAAGACACACCATCGACGGTAATACGACACGTGTTTCGCCTCTACACGAGGCATCCTCAGGTAATATAGACTCTACGGCGGCTGACCGCTAAGTGTCAAAGAACACCAGCATTAATAGGCTTGTAATTGGAGCATGCACCGTCTACTACGACCTTGATACTCCGATCAGCAAGAAAACTGGTGATTTAATTGCACAATTTCTCGAGGCCTTCGCTATGTCCAAACTAACGGCCAACGCCTCCCCCTTGGACTCTACTGCCTCTGCTCATTTATAAGAAACCGTACTGGCAATCACTGATCAGCTGGTGATGTTCAAGATACCGCATGAGCTGGCTTAGAAGGGGGGGAGAGTAGGAGTACCGGAAAAGACAAGTTAAAACCGGTGCCAACTCGGGAGCACACGTATTCAACATAATAGGAGGGACGCCATCCGGCCCACTCGACTTGTTGACGTCCAGGGAGAGGAGTGCTCTGCGCCCCGAGCGTTGGGTAAACAGGAAATCCTGCATGGAGCACTCACTCCGCATGATGATCGCCAGCGTGTTCCCCTCGTCATCAAGAGTCGAGTACGACGCAAAGTGAGAGCCCAGCAAATCGGCTTTGTCCTTTGCGGCATTGGCCAGTGAGCCGTCCTCCCTGTGCTAAGATGGGAGAGATGACTGACAGAAGTTCCCTTGGACAGCCTTGAGGAGAGACCAGAGTGCACGTGTTTCCGATAGAAGACGAACTAATTTCTCGCCAATTCTGCCGATATGCTCTGATCTTGCCTTGACATTGGCACTTTTGAAGGACCTGGAAGGAGAATGACGTAGTGCAATTTTGCAGGAGCGACGAAACTAAGACTGTGTTTGCCTCCGATAGGTACCACAAATGGTGAAATAAAAAGTTCCATTCCCTGTAGTACCACATCAGCGACAGAATCAGCAACAACGCTGGTATCATACGGCGAGAAGCAAACCCGCCCCCGAGTGTAGGATGCAAAAAAAGATCGCATCCCATCCCAGTCTGCTGACCTATAATGCCAAACACGCCGGCGACCTGCAGTACGCAACTGCGATGAGTGCGTAAGTGGCACCGTACTCCGGATCAGAAAATGGTCCGGGGATCCAAGATGGCATCAAGGGAGACCTGATATCGGTCCGGATGAGACGTCAGCAGAAGGTCTAACAGGAAAGGTACGTGATCTTCCACACCTGGGATCTGCGTAGGTAACCAGTTGTGTCAGACCATATGCCAAAGCAAAGTCATAAACAAATCTACCCGCATGATCGGTTAAATGAAAACCAAGCCATTCAGCTTGGTGGACGTTAAAATCTCCAAGTATCACGATTTCTGCGGATGGGATCTGTTATAGCACAGAGTCTGTAGCCATCTGGATGTGGTCGATGAGTTGGTCTGTTTCGACATTACCGCTATTGGACCTATAGAGGCACCCGTAGACGCGGGGATGGTCGTCGCTGTCTACGCGCAGCCATAAGATGCACAGGTCCGTTCCTTCAACGCGGCCGAGGAGTCGGAAACAGATTTCCTCTCTGGCATACAAGCAAACTCCAGCCCGGGGCACAAAAGAGTGTTCTAATTTGTACCCCGGGTAGGAGAGATACAAAACATCCGGAGAGGACACCTGTGTTTCGGTTCGAAAGAGCAAAGCCGGCTTCGCCGTTTTCATATGGTAGTGGAAGGTGTTAATATTTGAATGAAGTCCCCTGATGTTGCAGAAACTCACGGATAGCGTGGCAGGGGGCGCCTTTGACTTCTTGCTCTGTTTACCTCGAGCTGGTTTATTCTCGAGCGGAATTTTACCCCCTCCCCCCAAATACGTGGGGCAGCCCACTACTATGTTGTGGGGGGGGGATTTGGCCTCCGGCCACCTGTACTCCACCAGCACCAGACCGTGGTTTTACCACAAACAAAACCCTCTACCACACTTTAACATAACATACAGAAAAACATGCAGTCAATTTGTGAACCACCTCCATTTTTGAAATTGGCTAAAAAAAGGGCCAAGGTATAAATTCGCTTACGCCATAAAGAAGTATGCCCACTTTCCATACATTGATTGACCTGTCACTTGATTCGTTTTACATGGCGCGTCTACCTACAAGTACTGTTGCATAAAATCAATTATTGTTTATAATACCATAATAACTTATCACCTTTTCATTTAAAGGCCAGGAAAAAATGCTATCAAGTAAATAAGTTTTTCAGGTTATGACAGCTGTCAAACCTTATTTGACAGCTGTCGCGACCTCAAAAACTATACGTTAATTATAATCAAATTGTTTCTTTCAGGTATACAAAAAGTACTCTGTGATTGTTTATAAATCGCTGAGAGAGTTACAATCACTCAGAAATAAATCCCTCTTCAATGTAATATTATCATCTGTGCGCGGTCATAAATAGCAGTTATATTCTCGTAATATCTCGCCTATGTTGATTTTTAAAGACTACACGCACTACACTTTGTGCAAATTAGAACAATATAGGTATAGTTCATTTAATTATCGGTCAAAATCTGTCGTCCTAACGGACCGACTCAAGGAGTCGTCTTCACGGGCTACGCTTTCAGCCATCGAACTCTAAAAGTCTGATGAACAGAGAAGGACGAGTAAATAATACCTAATATAAGCATAATAATACTGCCGCACTTCTGGGAAAAGGCCTCTTTTCATACAGAGAAAGTATCAGTATTAATCACCACGCAGAGTCAAAATGAGTTGGCAGTTTCAGATTTTTATTTTGATTATACGAGTCCAGGTTGCCTTACTATGTTTTCCTTCTCCAATGTAGAAGATACACTTAGAAAATACGTACCTGCTCATTAAAAGACACACATTGGTACTTGCCCGAATTTGAAATCACAGCCTCGTGCATGAGAGGCGAGGTGTAACCTCTGGGCCTTCACAACATTAATAGATAACAAAAGAGCTACCTTTTCTACACGTTTTTGGCGAGAACAGGGAAATTAAATAAAAAACACGATTTGATTTATTTTTATTTATTCATTGTCTTCTCGTATGACCACTTCATCTAAAAATGCAGCTGGAGGCTCAATATTGGTTTCATGCCTGGCCCAACCCAAGTACCACACCATTGTCATAATATGCGCACAACAACCTACAGTGCGACGTCCTACAATGCAGTTGCAGCAATGCTCTACAATGCCTTCTCGTCCATCAACACCATTTGCATTCAAAATGTACACACAGTACTGACGTCTTGAGATATGTCTAGATTTTATTTTCCCTTTTATAAGTGAATTTTCCCCACTCCCTAACTCAGGTATATTATTAGTATCTTGACAAACTTCTATCCTGTGTCTGCCATGGGAATGTACGTGTTCACCATAATATGAACGCGTTTGGCGAATTTGGTACGTTACCAAGGCGAATAATATTAATTCACTGTATTCTAGATGGGGAAACTCAATATTAGCAGTATCAGCTGTAGTGCTTTGAAAAAAGGATGCCCGGCGATTTAAATTATACTATGTAACGATATTAATTAAGTTATTTTCCAAGTGCATCCTTTCATTTGTTATACCAAGAATTTGAGCAGCATCAGCTCTATTGCGAAGACGAACACCGAACTTATTTATTAAACTTGCAGCAATTTGGAAAGTAGCCATCATATTTGGTACGGTTTTATTAAAATTGTCAAACCTCAATAATCTAAAATCTCTTTAAAAATATCAATTTACAACCTCCACCATCTATCTGCAAATAATTACACATCTACTTCTATTTGCTTGGGTGGTGGTTAACTGATGTTCGCCTTCCAAAAGTGACTCTGGCATATATTCCTTATAATTACAATGCTCTAATAAGCTGATGCAGTCTCTGAATCTCTTGTTTAAAATAAATATGTCATTATCTTAAAAGTATTGTATCAGTGGGGAATTTTCGTTGCTGAACAAAGAAGACATTATTTCGGCATCAGATGTGGTAGCTTTGTATGGGCCAAAACAATCTAAAATGTAACCGTCATAGGCAACTATTAAAAATGGCTTTAACAGATTTCTTTATTTATGTAAAGAATATGTGTGTTTTTGAAACATATAATTGCCACCTTTATTTAAAAAAATGTACGTTCCATCACACATCACAATACATTGTTTATTATTTTCATTGTAAATTCCATTCGGAACGATGAGATTGTGTTCTATTAATTGTTCTTTTGGCAAGTGATTTATTCCGTGGTTACATGGAACAAAATCCTGTAGCAGTACCTCTCGTTCTGTTTGCATTAACCTCTCTAGTTTAGTGCGAGAAACTTCTAGCAATGTTGATATTCTTAAGTCGGAATCACCTGTCCACATCTTTATCAATACAGCAGCTAGACCTAATTCGATTTTGACAAGCCAATCCAAAATCCAAATAAATTATCATCGATTTCTTGTAATGATTCTATGCTTGAAAAATCGAGGAAATGCTTGTATTTTTGAACAAAGGAAAAACATGCTCAACTTGTTCAACAGTGAAATCGCTCATGCTGTTTTCACTGGTATAAAGGGAACTTTAACTGTTTCCATGTAAATGGTCTGTGCATACTCTTGCCAGTTTGGGAATATAAAAATTGTAGTTGCACAAAATGGTAGCCCGCAGTGCATCTGACACAGTATGCTGATTTTCATTTTCACACCTATAAAATGCACAATGAGATTCTGTATTGGGAGCATGTTTATAATTACGTAATGCAATTTTACTTCATTGTTGGGTTTGAGATTGTTGCGTATGAACCTCTGGAGCTGCAACTGATTCTACAGACGATTCCCTTTCATATGTACTTGCAAGAAACGGGGGAGGTTGTAATTCTGGAACATGAACTGCATCAACAGGCTGTTCTACTTCTTGTTCAATTGTTTGACTGTGAAGAGTCTCATCACCTTCTAAGCCTCTTCTTTCATCCTGTTGTTGAGTTAAAAGAGCTTGTCTTTTAAACCCCAACCAACAGGCATGATATACACGATCATATTGTGATATCTGTCCACAAAAAACAACATATTTGTAATAAATGCAGTGACATACTTAGTAATGACATGGATTAGAATGTGATGTTTAAAGAAAAAATTGCATGCAGTTTAAAATAGGTTTGAATATTTAAATACAAACCTGACGAGGTGCTATAGTAGTTCGAATTAAGTTGATCATTCTTAGTGTGAGGCTTGATGGGTTTTCTTTGTGAATATGGTCACTATGACGATTGACACTCATTGTTTCCTTGAATTTGAGCATTAATAGTCTGCATGGATACATCAAAGCACGCTTCACAAATGTAATTCTTTTCCGTAATCTGAAAAATAAATCAATTATGAGATTATAAAGCATAAAATGGAAATAAGCACATTTAATTTGTATTTTTATATGTTTTATTTTAGACAACTGTCTTAAAGAACACTTTAGCTAAACATGGGTAAAATCTCTAAGTAACTAACATCGCCTATTTATACCCCCTGTCAGTTCATCAGAGTTCTAGAGTCTGATGTCAAACTATATATAGCTGTCCGACCCATGCCTGAGTCTGATTTGCCTATTGATGGAACTTGAAAAGATATACTTTAACACTTCTGAATATTAACAATTTTTATAAAATTATTGTTGACTGAATATTAAATCATTAGGTAATTTATTATACTTACTATTACTCCAGATATCCAAGTGCTAATTAGCGAGATGACTCTGCTATCAAGCTGAAGGGCCCGATAACGCTGAAGCGTATTACTACGTATACATAGCAGTTTATACATAGCATTATCGTAGAAGGCTCCATAACGCTTCCCAACAAGTAAGATAACGTCTTAGATCTCAATCAAAAAGCTAAATCGGTATCCGTATTACACAGGCCAAAGTAATCGTGAGTGGAAGGTATCGAAGTCCGTGTAAAAATCAAGTTGTAAGGGTATCAGAAAATCCAGAATAGCACAGTACAAAATGTAGGAAAAGCTAACGAACGACTGCAAAACTTCAACTTAATGACAGGCTGTCATTGAACACAAAAACAAACACGTTTTTTAAATATGTTTTGGCATGGCTTCTAGGCCTTTGAGTCATTTTAAAACTCGTTCCGTCTCCAAAAGTCTATTGAGAATGATAAACATATTAACATTACTCTTTTTCCTGGCTTTATTAGAAAATTCAATTGAATGAAAATTAATGTGTTGTTGTTTATGCGATCCGAAATAAGCAAAAAAAGAGCAATTTTATAAGATATTTTACATCACCAGACGCGTTCAAAAATTTTCAGGTCAAAATTTTCCTTGCTTTGTTTCTTCCTTCGTTAATTCTTTCTACATTTCCAAGCTACCGGAGCATACAACCTGATTTTAGCTCATCTCATAATCGATCAATCAAGGAATTTTAGTACTATGCTGCCGTATATAAGTGCCGAAAGATGCCTAGCCCGTGTCATACACAAGGTGTCGTAAGTGGCGGCAGTGTGCAGAGGAGCAGGAGATATGTAGAAGCAACGGCTTATATATTACATTTCCGATAACAACTTAAATTGCAGTTGCCAAACCGCCTGCCAATCGTGACAAATATGGTAAATATGAGGGGGGGTATTGGCATAGGCCAATCCCGTAGATTGCATTGAATATAGGTTCAGCAGCAGACTATTGATAGGTTGTAAGGAATCAAAGCATTGTATTTACGAATTAACTACATAATATACAAATTAGAAACATTCATGATATAATACATAAACACCAATGACGGTAATTCAAAATATAACTTAGAGCACCTGGTCGACCGAACTATACTCTGCGCAAAAAAGTCGGAGTTATCGAGTGACAAATTACAATCGGGGTTATCTACTTCACTTGAGGACACGGCTTGAGGTCTAAAGTAACCAATTTCCATAGCAGTTCCTCAAATACATTAAATATACAACGTTCTCCAATTGATTTAATAAAGTTGAAGAAAGTAAGTAATTAAGTAACTAAGAAAGAAAGAAATTGAGCAAGTTAGTAAGTAAAGAGTTTAATGTGTTGATATTGAAATAAAAATTTGGATTTTTTAACTACACAAACTTAAAATTGAATTTTTGGTCATTCTATTACGTTACTAGCTTACCATGCAGACGTTGTTCTGCCCTTTTCGACGACCCTTTGTCATGTCTTATTAAAAATCCTTAAATTAGCAAAAAAAAATGTGGGTCACTCATGTGCAAAAAAACTATCCTATCTCTCAAGTTCGACCAAACTGCACACGGTGTGCAAATTTGATTAAATTCGGTTAAGTAGCTTAGGAGTCAATCGCGGACAAACAACGTGACACGTAATTTATATATATTAAGATTTCTTTAATTTAGTTTTTTTTTTTAAACTTGATAAGTTATAAATTTATTTTTACATATTTTGGTGGGATATCCTTTAATTAAATAAAAATTATTCTGTTACCAATCTTAAGTAAACATCAGCGTTTTTTCTTCACTTTTTACTTTACTGTTTTCAAACCATAGGAATTAAATGTCAACAAAGTTATTGGGGCGGTTAGTATCAAGTACAATACTTAGAGCTTACAGTTTCAGATATTTTTCCTTTGTATGTTAGAAGTTGCCTAGGTTTTTTATGAGTTCAAGTCAGTGAGTTAGTGAATAAATGGGTAATACAAAAGCACTTTTCAGACTTTAATAAGTCATGAACTATATTAGCTTTATTTGTGAAATAAGGAGTTATAGGTATTGTAGGGGGCCTTATTAAATATACAACATAAAAAGTATGTACGTTGTTTTAAATTATAGCAAGGTCGTAAGTAGCTTGAATTATTTCGCTTCCGTTAACTTTTCTTTTCTAAACTTGGCTGATATACTGCCGAGTAGAAAAGTTTTATTTCATTTCAACGCAGAGTTAAAATAACAAGATTTTAATTTAATATATTCAAAAGCCTGCTAATAATAATAACATAAGTAATGATGTCAATACGGTAAAATTTTCTCATTCACAGCAACTTCAAAGAACAGAAGACAAAACAAGTCTGTTAGACGATTCGAATTTGACGATTTGTGTACCTGAGTTAGCTACTATACATCATAACATATAATGAAGACCGACTCTGTTACTTAAAGGAGTGTTAAGGCCTTTTTAATATTGTTAATGAATATAATGATTTCTTATATTTACGCGAACATTGCACAAACACTCGTTCCCTCTCATCCCCCCCTCCAAAAAAAAGTAAAAATAAACGCGATAAAATCCGTAAAAGTAGTTTTAATCTTGTTAATGAATAATTAGAGTATGTTTTAAAAATATAATAGAATATCCTAATTAATGTATAGTTGTAATTAAAAATAAGCACAAATAAACGCGATAAAATTCGTAAAGTAGTTTAATTCAACTGTATAGATGCCCAAATTTACTTTAAAATTACATAATAATGTACTGTTAGTAGGTCAGAAAGCTAAATTATCTTTCATTAAGTCTTGTATCTTTGGCAAACAAGCGAGAATAAGTCGTTGATTATATAATATTATGTATTTGTATACATAGATTATATACATAGATCATTCAGTCCATCTAGGTAAGTGGATGCTGTGGCCCATAAACCTCTACATCCATCGTCGATTAAGAATCAAAATACGGATGCGTTGGCACCCCCGACGACTAAGATAGAAAGCCTCGTTTCCAGTAAAAAGGGTCTCCGGTACTCTACACTCACCATACGAAACACAGCAGCATTTAACTGCTATTTTATGCTGGTACTCTGTGAGAGCGTAGTGCTTCCCCGGTCGAGCCGACCCATTCATGGTACCAGCATACAAATATTAGCAGCTTAGCTCTACCACGTACAAATCTTCTACCCTATATTATCTCGTGGGTTGTCGTATATATATATATAAGCAAGCAAGCGAAACACACCGAAGCCAATCATGCCACGAAGTAAATCATGTCAATCAAAAATTCCGAATCATAAACAGTATAATATATAGAACATCTCCGAAATATCACATGGAGTGTCAGCCGCTCCCCGGGCAGAAAACCTTGCCCGGCGGGAGATCTCCCTTTTCATTCTACGGCTACAGTGGTGACCACCCGACGTGATCTGAAAACACAACCAACAACCTTCGGAAATATCAGCTTCATCATCGTCATACCCCACCCATTCACTCCCGAGCAGATATCGTCTGCAGTCTTCATATCCAGCAAGCCATCTAGCTTCACAAGGTTCATCGCAGCACTGGAATTATAATGCTTCCTGTTCCTTCAAGCTACTCTCTGCGCTATACAGTGTTCGGCACGGCTCTGAGCCTTACTGCTCGCCTCTGCTTCACGGCACTCTCGCAGATTACCTGACTTCTTCTCGACTCACCGCAGACTACAAGGCAATCTCATGGCGTATATATAGAACATCTCCGAACTATCACACGGAGTGTTGGCCGCTCCACGAGCAGAACACCTTGCCCGGCGGGAGATCTCATCTTTTCCTTCTACGGCCACAATATATATATATATATATATATATATATATATATATATATATATATATATATAATAACTAAAATTAATAAAAAAACTGCAATTACTATCCCGCCGTCTATCGTGGCAAATATGGCAAACACATACATAGAAAAAGATAATATGCCTCTATATGTACCTACATATTATCTATTAATCTATTAAGGGGGGCATATTATCATCAGTGACCAGAGGTATGTATTTGTTAGCGACGCGCCTATAAGAATATTTCAATTTATTAGTTAACCGATTACGAATAGCTTCTAAAAAGCAAATTATCAAGCAACAATATTCCGATAAGAAAATGCTTAGTTGAATCTTAAAGAAATATCGAATTAATGATATGAAGGTCTTGGGTTCGACTCCCAGGCCGGAATAGTTTATCGTTTTCTTAGTAATATCTCTCAATAAATTCATATAGGGAATTTTAAGATATAAATTATGTTACCGGATTTGTTCCCCGGTCGAGATGATCGCTGTGCATAAGTAGAATTAATGGAAATTAATTGCATAAGTATTGTCTTATATGAGTTTGAATATGTTTTGTATGAAAACAAATGCCTATTTTCTATGATTGATTTATGAAAACATTCACTTATATTGTTTGATAAGAAACATGATAACTGATAAGAATCTGATTAGAGGTAGTTTTCGGCGTTTGAGAATTGAGTAGAATCATTTATTCACCTAGTATTGTTGATATTAGTGTATACTAAACTTTCCATTTTTACTGATAGTCGATAGCCGTGCAAAAGTTAGTTG